AAAGAAAGAAAGAAAGAAAGAAAGAAAGAAAGAAAGAAAGAAAGAAAACAATCTAGAATTGAAATGAATTGCTAAGTCAACAAATTCATCACTCATCCTTTCAATCATATGGCAAAACTACTTCTGGGCACATTCAGATTGTGAGGTGTGTCTTCACAATTATTTTTATTTCCTCTCTCTAGTGGCAGCTGTATTGCAAGAAAGGGTTCTTGCCAAAGAGAGCCACTAGGATGTGACAGTGTCACTTAGAGTACAGAGATTCAATGTCTGATCCTCAAAGGTAACTTTGGTGAAGGAGAGGATGTTATTTTTTCGCTCATTAGGAATGATCAAGGAAACTCTCTCCCCTTCATTGCTCTTCATTGTTCTTTTGTATCTGTTTGCAATGAGATGGGGAGGCTGACTGGGGAACTGTCGGAACCAAAATATGTTTTCATTTATTTGAATATTGGGATGGGAGCAATTAAGCTCTATTTGTCTTCCATTGGATGCTTCTAACAGGGGTTCCTGGACAGGATTTTCAGCCTGGCAGAAAAGGATTCCTATAAAATCAACCACAGGAAAAGAAAAGGATATCAACATCTGTGGTCCCTGATGGAATTCTTGGATGTTCCTGAATCAAAAATACAACTTGGATGTCCTTAATGTAGAAGTTCTGAGCAGTAGTACAGTTATAATCAGAATAGATCTGGAAGGGACTTTGGAGCAGCAGTGGGATTCTACCAGTTTGCACCTATTTGCTAGAACCGGTTGTTAACATTCTAAGCAGTTCGGAGAATTGGTTGTTAAAAGAAATTACTGGCCTAATCCTGTAAGGAAGGCAGGAAGGAAACATTCTGGTGTTGCTTACAGAAACTGCCTCTACATTAACCCTTAGTACATTCTTGGCAGGACTAGACTTCCTGTCTCTGGAACTTCTCTGGAGTTTTTTTTCCTCCTTTGCTGCTACTTTGCTTGTGTGGAGTGACCATTCAAAGTTACAATGGCACTGAAAAAAGTGACATGTCTGTTTTTCACACTTATGACTGTTGCAGCATCCCCACAGTCATGAGAGGCCAGGTGAGGAGATGCATGCCTCGATGTGAGTGATGTTGAGTTGACCACACCCAGCCAATAACATGATCACCAAACCATGTCCACCCAGTCACATGACCACCAAGCCACACCCACCACCTAAGCCACACCCATAGAACTGGTTGTTAAAAAATTGAATCCCACCCCTGTTCATATCCACAAGATATCTGTCAGTCCAGCCCACCTTAAATTCCTTTGCTTGGACTGTTAGTAGTTCAGATTCTTGTAGAGAGCTTAAGCTTGCCACAAATATTTATACTCACTGAACTGCCTGGATCTTCTGATTTCCCTGGAGTTTGACATTCATCTTGCAACATGACAACAACCCAAATCTAGAAAAGAAGGGCTTCATCAGAAGAGGATCAAAGTTTTGGAATGGCCCAGCTGGAACTGAATCCAATTGAAGATGTGTGGGGTGACCCGAAGAATGCTATGTCTAGGAGATACCCTCGCAATCTGAGAGATTTGGAGTGCTTTTGCAATGAAGAATGGACAAAGATCACCTCCCTCCCTTCCTTCCTCCCTCCTTCCCTCTCCCTCTCTCTTCCCTTCCCTTCTTCCATTCTTCTCCCTCCCTCCCCCTTCCTTCTTTCCTTCTCCCCTTCCTCCTTCCCCCTCCCTCCCCTCTCTCCCTCCTTCCATTCTCTCCTTCCTTTCTCCTCCCCCTCCCTCCCTTTCCTCTCCCTCTTCCCTTCCCTCCTTCCTTCTCCCCCTCTGTTGTGAATCAATAAAAAAGTAACTAAGCCCAAATGCAAAGCGGGTTTTGAAAGCCTGCACACCTGATTGGTCCGTAAACAATGAACAAGGATTGGTCCATAACAAGTCCCTGATTGGCCCATATTAGGACACTTCTTATTGGGTATTAGTTGAACTTGTTGCACATATTATTGGTTAATAAGGTAGCAGCCAACCCTATAAAAGGGTTACTGCTGCCCATAGCCTCGCTCTGTTCTGTTCTATCTACTGTTATTAAAGAGTTGAAGTCACTGGTCAGATGTCTGGTCTCCATTATTCTCCAAACTTAACACTGGCGACGAGGATGGGATACAGAGACCGAAGAGCTGACTGATCTACAGAGCAACCAACAGAGCACGTGGTCGAACACGCACTATCAACGGCAACATGGCCAGCGGTGCCGTACCACCCGCTCCATTCGACCCAGAAACCGAAGACTGGGAGTCGTACATGGATAGGTTCCAGATGTTTCTGGAGACCAACAACTTGAAAGATGCAACAGCCAGCAAAAAAAGAGCTGTATTTCTAACCCACTGCGGGCCTACAGTGTTTAAAATGGCAAAATCACTTGCCAAGCCAGCGATGGACTGGGACGTCCTCGAGCCTTTGCTACGGGTCCACTACGCGCCTACCGTGCCAACCTTAGTCAGAAGGCACGAATATTACCAGAGGGTCCAGCGGAAAGGCGAAAGCCTTGCCAACTACATCGCAGACCTCCGCAACCTTGGAGGCCTTTGCGGATTCTCTAACTTAGAAGAAGCCCTCCGAGACTGCCTAGTTCTGGGCCTAGAAGACTGCACGATCCAGAGCAAAATCATGGCTAAGGGGGACATCAGCCTCACCGATGCCCTTAAAGAAGCCACTGCAGCAGAGGCAACCAAAAAGTCGGCAGCCCGAATACGCTGCACCAGCGCACCGCTACGTCAACTCACCAATGATACCTCGCCTCGCTCAGAGAGACACCCGGTATCGACTCACCACGAAGACCTAGAATCCCTGTCAGAAAGTGATGAGGAAGAGGTCAACCGACTCCGAACGGAACGAGACCAGTTCACACAACGCTCACGTCGACCATGTGCAGGATGTGGAGCGAATCACCCACGATCCAGCTGTAAATTCCTTGACGCACTCTGCCGCGTTTGCGGGAGAAGAGGTCACATCGCAAAGGGTTGCAGAAGCAAACAAAACTCCAACTCCAAACCCCGACAGGCCGAATGCCAGTCTTCAGGATTCATCGGCACACCCCGAGACAAACTGAATCACCAATGGGGAAGCCACTCCTACAGAAACAAACCGTCCACCACTTCCACCAGGTGGGAAGAAACCAGGCGGGAAGATACCCACCAGACAATTACCATAGGCCACGCTACATCCCTAGATGCCGGGAAAATCAGAGTGAAGGTCGCTATCGAAAACAAACCTTGTGTAATGGAGGTGGACTCAGGATCATCCCTCTCGATGGTGTCCTGGAAGACGCTCCAACAGCTCGTTCCGACGATTCGCTGCCAAGACCTCAACCCTCAAAGGGTTATACTCAAAGATTACCAGGGTAACCGAATTCCCGTTGTCGGGTCCCGCCGATTCCAGGTCTCTTTCAAGGACCGCACCGTCGCACTGCCACTGACTGTCGTTGACCGTGACCGGCCTAGTCTTTTAGGCCTGCAATGGTTCAAACCGCTCGGAATCACTGTAGCTGGAGTCCACCGTGCCGAGAGCAATGATTGGGAGGAAGCCCTCGTACAAGAATTCCAAGACGTTTTCGTGAATGGACTAGGCAAGTACAAGGGGACCCCGATCTCATTTAACTTGAACCCTGAGGTAGCACCCATCCGCCTTAAGCCGCGTCGGGTGCCGTTCGCCCTGAAACCTAAAATCGACAAACAACTCAATAAGCTAATAGCACAGGGCGTGCTGGAACCCACCGACCATGCCCGGTGGGAAACCCCAATAGTGACGCCTATCAAGCCTGATGGGTCACTGAGAATTTGCGGAGACTACCGGGCCACCCTAAACCACGCACTTCAGCAAAGTGCATATCCAGTGCCGATAGTGCAACACCTGCTCCATTCCCTGGGCGGCGGGAAAGTTTTCGCTAAATTAGACCTAGCGCAGGCGTATCAACAATTGCCTGTAGATCCAGCCACCGCGGAGGCGCAAACTATCGTCACGCATAGGGGCGCATTTAAATGCAACCGGCTCCAGTTCGGGGTAAGCGTCGCTCCAGGAATCTTTCAGAGCTTAATGGAAAGGCTGTTACAAGGAATAAGAGGGGTCGTACCGTATTTCGACGATGTACTCGTCGCCGCCCCTAACAGAGACATTCTAGAAAAACGACTCCGAATGGTCTTACAAAGGTTCCAAGACGCCGGCCTCAAAGTCAAAAAAAATAAATGCCAGTTATGTACCGAAAGGGTGGAGTTCTTGGGATACCTCTTGGACAGTCAAGGAATCCACCCCACTGAGGACAAATTAAAGGCAATTAAGAAGGCCCCCACTCCAAGGAACAAGGCAGATCTACAGGTGTTCCTTGGACTTATCAATTTTTATAACGTCTTTTTACCCAATAAAGCAACGGTAGCTGAACCATTACATAGACTCTTAGACAAAAAAGCAACGTGGGTTTGGGGACAACGTGAACAGTACGCTTTCCAACAAGTAAAGAAATTGCTAACTTCTGATTCTGTACTTATGCAGTACAACGAGACTCTGCGTTAACTATTACCTGTGATGCCTCACCTTTTGGGGTTGGAGCAATCCTGGCCCATGTCTTACCGAACGGAGCAGAAGCTCCCGTCGCGTTTTTTTCGCGAACCTTAGCTAAAGCTGAAAGAAATTATAGTCAGCTGGATAAAGAAGCTTTAGCTATTGTGGCTGCAGTTAAACGATTTCATGAATATGTGTATGGGCGTGCGTTTACAATAATTACTGATCATAAACCACTACTGGGGATTATTGCGGGTAATAAACCAACCCCGTATATATTGTCCCCCAGAATGACCCGCTGGTCTGAATTCTTGGCGGCGTACAACTACACCTTGCAATACCGCCCGGGGAAATCAATTCTCCACGCTGATGCATTGAGCAGAACACCGCTCCCAGAATCGGTTGAAGATCCAGCCCCAACCATCACAACGCTGCAAATTGAGGCTCTACACGCGCCGCCATTGACGGTGAGAGACATTGCCCTCGAAACAAAACAAGATCCGGTCCTGCAACACATCCTACGCTGGGTTGAACATGGTTGGCCAACAGAACAACTATCACCAGAATGGGCGCCTTTCAAAGCCCGCCAAACCGAACTGTTTTCCCAAAAGGGCTGCATCTTGTGGGGCGATAGAGTCATAATCCCAGGCAAACTGCAACGAACTGTTTTAGCGGTATTGCACTATGGACATCTGGGCATCGTGCGAATGAAAGCACTCGCACGGAGCTACGCCTGGTGGCCGGAAATCGACAAAAGAATCGAGGCCTGGGTCGCTACTTGTCAATGTTGCCAGGACGTCAGCAACGCCCCACCTAAAGCAAGCCCAACCGAA